TTTTTTTTTTTTTTTAACGGCACCTCTGTGGCTGTATGGGTGAATGTGAAAAGGGTATTTTTGGTAGACACTGCACAGCTAAAGCGCTTTTAATTTTCTCTCTAATTTATTTTTAATTTTGTAGCCCCCCAGGGGTATATCCTTATTATGTGATGTAAAATCTTGTCTTCTACAAAGCGGCTTATTTGTTGATTTTTAATTTGAACCAGCAGAGGCAGAGCTGTAGTTTTTTCAAGTATTGAGAGATCCTCAATATATATAGCTGTCAAATGTGTATTTCAAAGCAGAATTAGTAGAATATATAACTCCTAAATCTAGCCTTCTAGGAAGGATGAAGAGAACATTTTTCTTTCTCTGTATTAACACAGTTGTAGACTTCTGAATCTAAAAGTATTCTCAATATACTACCTGTTTTAACTCCATATAGTAGATTTGGATTAGAGTGAATGTGAGGGCTTGAATTATCTAAAGCTTTGCACTTGTGCTTGTACTGACAGAAGTTAGGGTTTGGTTTTGTTTTTCAAAAGGGGATCTCCATCAAAAGATTAGCACTATCAAAAACAGTATTAATCTGCACATTCACATGAATGTGTATTCACCACTATGTGCCCAGTGGCTCTCAAGAAATGTTGGCTTTAAGTTCACCTGTATATCTTCTCTTTCATTATTTGTTTATGTGGCTGGCTGGGAGCCTTAGTCACAATCCTGTTGAGATAATAACATAAACACACAGTCTCACATAATCTGTTTTCCCTTTGCATTCACTCAGAGAAATGTTTTGCTTTGTTTTCAAAACACCAATTATCTCATCCTGAACAATTCAGCTGGAATGTCAGGCAAATAATGCTTAAAATTGTCTCACCAACTAGTTGAGGTGTAGACATTTACATTTGGTCTTTCTCCCCCATGTTGCTTAAAACTCAGTATACCAGTTAATAACTTTGCTTTATTTGTCACCAAGGCAAAAAGAAACCAACCAAACAAAGATTGTCTTCTTTTCTTTGTTCTGTTTTCAATTGCATGAGCTTTTTCTTTTTCTATTTGTTTCTTATCAAAGAAGATGTTTATTCCCATTTTGGGATGCATACTTGATTCTCTGTCCTTCTAATTTTAGTCTTTCTCAAATTAAATTAAGGCCTCCCACTTACCTAAGTTATCTTCCCTTCTTGTGAATCTGTGAATTCACTGAGGATACCAGCTGTGATAACAGCACAGAAGTACTCTCCTACCTAGGCCGCCCAGGCCTTCCACAGTCTATTGCGTCCTACCTGGTCACCCTTGCAAAAGGATGACATTAAATATGGTGGCTTCATTTAGCCCCATCTCAATGCTGGAACTCCACCCACCTCTTCCTTGATTTGTCGATGGCTTTTGACCCATCTGACTATGGCGTCATTTTGGGGATCTCCAAATCCTTATCCTTCTTAGCACCTGTGGCTCTGTTCTTTTCTCATCTTATTTCTCTCATTGTTCCTTACATGCTCTGAGGAGGATCTTCATCATCCCCTTCCTCACATATCATCTTTCATTCAATATCAATATTTCATTTCCATTCTTCTCTTAGTTCATGATTCCAATCTCCACTCTTAACTTTCAAGGTTTTAAAAAACTCACTTCCTTGCCATGTTTTTGGGAGAAGCTCTCTCTAGTTTTCCAGTCATTTAGACATTGTGCTCCTTAAAATCCTCCCCATGAACTGTGCTTTGATGTGTTACTTACCAAAACAATTGATGGAGATAGATAGTCTTCTAATGAATGCAGACTATCACCAAAATCAACCATGACTAGCATCTTAGACAATTCTGCTGCAATACCATGCAAATACTTGCTGCCCAGGCTTGAAATTTCTAGTGCAAGGTGGGAAAGAAATAGTCAGCCAAATTTGGAGCTGTACCTTTGGGAGATACAGGAAACATGTGGAGGGGGAGGGCTGATGGTATGATTGTACTCTGAATATGCTTACTAGTTTCAGTTGCAGAAACAGTAAAAAAGGGAAAAACAACTGGATTGACACTGACTGCAGATGATCATCTGATTCTCTCCACCCTTCCTCCCAGGAAGTCGCCCAGTTTAGGAGACACATTTATTTCTAGGAATAGTGACAACAATAGTAATGAAATAGAGAACAGTAATCAAATAACAATGCCCAAACTAACAACATGTGCTAAAAATGCATTACTTTTCCCTCAGATGAAGTGAGGCATTATTGCTAATTGTAGATCTGTAGAGATAAAAAAGATAATAATAGTAAGCACAGTGGGACCCAGAGGCAGACCTTTTTTACAAACTAAATAGAGACATAGCATATGAACGGAAGCAAAAACAACTTCCAAAAAGGAAGATACAGCTTCTTCACAAGACTTTTTTCCAGGAACAAATTCTCTGTTTTATGTCTGTCC